ACGGCGGCTTTCTAGGACAAGATTTTCGATTAATCTCCAATGTATCAATCTGCTGCCAGTGGATTACGCGTTGGCATTTTGAATGGGATGACCCCGTTCCGGCAAGTGTGCGTACATGACGAAAACATTGATGTTGAAAGACAAGACATCGCTATTACGTGGCGCAACGGTTCTCTTCCAAGGCGCGCGCGGCAAGAGCTCAGAAATAACAACGGAGATCAAGCTTAAAGTGGGAACAGATTCCATCAAAGCGCATCATCTTAAAAGCAGCTTTGGCGAAAAATGCAAGGTCGGTCAAATAGTTCCAGCAGGGGACTGTGGAATCGGGTTTTTTATGGGGGGGCAGAGGGGGGGCGAACAGAGCGCTAAAGCCAGCTTCAATTTGATTTATTTTCCTACTACACAGGAATGCGGCGGTTGTGTTTGGAATATATGAGTTGACTCGCTGATCCAGTCAACACAGTCGGCTGCGTACTTTTCATGTTCACTTTCTATGGATGGCCGACTGACTGGACAGAGAGCGGCGCATTCGTTTGCTTTCAACGGTGCGAAGCATCCACGTCAACAATGACTTGAACCCCTTGGCTTTAGACTAATTCACTCAACTCAATTTTCTTTTCTTTTTTTTTACTTTGCCTGCACATATCGCTAAACCTGACATGTATCCATTTGCCTTTTGTCATAACTTTAAAATGGGATTTTGAATGTCATCTTTTTAGGATCAATGCAGCAAAACACCACGCCGCCAGATTTGAGGTCAATCATTATCTATGACGGTAAATACCAAGCACATAAAGGCTGTCCCTAAAATAAATGGCATGAGATATAATCAGGATGGAGGCGTTTTACACGAGGAATTACAAAAGCAGCCCACTTAATCCCAAATGGTGTTTTTCTCAGTGAGGCTGCAGTTGAGAACAGCGCATAAGCAGATTCCATTAAATCCCGTTGTTGTTTCTGGGGTGGTTGTTGTTGTGTTGAGATCCAAAGGCTTCTTCAATTGCAAATACTCACGGGAATTGGATTTTGCCATTGAAAGAATTATTTTGCTTTCGCTCTAACCTTCCCACCCCCCCTTTTTTTTCATGCCATGGTGCAGATTCCTACCTGCATTATTTGTTCTTTCACTTCCCGCCATGTGGAGCAGGGGTGCCAAACTTCTTTCCGCTCTGTGGCCACGTGAGCACAATGGCTGCCCTCAAACGGCCAGATGGAACTGGGAAAAGAAAAAAAAAAAAGTGGACATGTAGTGAAATGTACCCCAACGCCATGTAAAATGAACGCAGCGACCCCTAAATGTTCACACCAAATTCTTGACTTAGTCAACTTTCCAACATTACAAACACATTTGCGTTGATGTAAAAATAAAATAAAGCGAGCTTGATTCTCTGTTATTTTAACAGAAGTCCTTCACTTCACCACAGTACAAATGAACAAAACCAAAATAGGCTCATTTCCACATATGCCTCAACTAAAAGAAAGGAGACGCGATAATGACAATAGACTGTTGAGGGAGGTTGGGGGGGGGGGGGTTAACACAATTACAGTGGAACAAAAATTTGAATATGGGACACAACATGTGCATTTATTTCTTCTGTTATCTCTAAATCCTGAGAAAAGAACTCTATGGACAAATAAAAAAAAAAAAATCCGGTCTAATTTTGACCGTCCCAACACTTGTCGTTGCTTTACTGCTGTTCTGTATAAGAAATGGAGTCTTGATGACCACGAGCGAGAATTTAAACACACACACACACACACACACACACACACACACACACACACACACACACACACACACACATAAAAGCAGCTGAATTCATCACCATGTGGATGGACAAGAGTGATTCTTGCTTCAATGAAGGTGGGCTTCCATTCATCCCTCGCCTTTGTGTGGCTTGAGTACTAGAAACACGTTGCGCGGGAGCGCGCACATGGGCTTTTGTTATGCCCTCTTTTGTGTAAATAGCAGAGACAACCGGACAAAAAAAAACTCTGGCTGATTGTTGTCAAGGTAAGAGAGAATCAGCCCGCGGTGGGTCGTCGGGGATCAAAGTGAGAGCATGTGCACAAGAGAGATGGGGACAACAATCAATCGCTGCTCTCCACACAAATGGGAGATCCGTTTCTACGTGCAGGTCGCCTTTCAAGGCCTTGCCAGGAAAATAATATGGTTGTTGATGTACGAAATGTTTGGACGTGTGTGCAGGTGAACTTTTTTTACTTTCCCCTACACAACTCACAGAGCGATGTTACAGACTTTTTTTTTTTTTTTGGTCTTTTAAAATTTGGAGGCCAGGGAGAGAGAGCGAGAGAGCTGATCAAAATCACTTCTACATCTTCTGAGATAATTGATATAAATCTGCTCATTTACTGTGGCCCAATCAGTGTGGTGCTGCGCACGCACGTTGTGACAAATTTACCGACGCACACACTCACAGTGTGTACTCGGCACATCTTGATGGCCTGATTGTCTAGTTTCATGGCTCCGCAGAAATCTGTAATGAATGAAAAAGGGCCATTGAAGGAGGAATAGAAGAAAAAGATTCTGATTAGAGATAAATGAGTGAAAGATTGATGGAAGTGCATCAGCCTCCATGTGCTTCATTTAGTTCCAATCTGGTTGCTTCCAAGGGTGAAAAATGTGGAATTAATGGCACCAGGTGCTTTTCTGGGGTGGTGGGATGGGGGCCCAGACAGTGAAATTGATGGAGAACCTCAGACCACGTCTGAGATGGAGCAAGTCTGGAACACGTACAGCATCTGGACCAATTGGTTTTTTCGAGATCGAAGCCAAACTATCGCCAACACAGCGACTATTCCAATAAGTAGATCAGGCGGAGACAAAGACAAGTTGAACCCCTCTCAAAACGTGTAAAAGAAACTCAAGGCTCCAATCTTGGAGAAAAAAAATTGAAAAGCAAGTACATTTTATTGTACAGTTTAGTGTAATTCAACTGTGACGAGGGTGGGAATGATTCCACATAACAAATTTTTCAATCACCTTTGAGCTTTGGTTTCCTTTTTTAACCGCGAGAATGAGCAATATAAGATTTTTATTGGTTTGTCAAAGTATGTTCAACCATAACAAGGCATAAACACACCAAACTGAAAAAGACTGGGCCAAAGATGGACTTTTCAAGCAACCGACTTCTCGCGATCGACAAGTGACCGCAGCTCACGCAGTTAGACACACGTGCGCCATGATGAGCAACAGACGTAACGTGAACGGAACAGAAAAATAAAGTGGATACAAGAGTTTGTGGAAAAGGAATTCACTGCCTACCTTAGTAGAGACGTGACGGCATGGAACGCACTTTTGCTGCGTGTTCACTATCATAGCTCACGTATACCGTTTGAAAACGCTTCTCCCGGCACTCCAGATTCCCTTTCTTCGCCAGTGCCGTCGGTGAATCGTACAGAAAACAAACTTGGACCTGAAAGTAATAATTAAAAGAAGATATCGCGACAGCTCTGATCGCAAATTGTAGTTGCAGACGGCTGACCGCTAACAACTTCCGGTGATGCGGGTCATACGTCACAGTAGGTTCAAGGTGACCTGCTTTTTTTTTTTTTTGTAATACTGTACTTGTTTTGTGAGTGACACTGATAGGATGCTTATCGTGCCGTGTGAATTAACACAAAAATATATAATATGAATAACATATTGTGCACGCCTGCTCTAAAACAATTACATGCACTTGTATCTTAAAAATGGTGGAGCATCACGATTCCCTGTACGACTTGCTGGTGCCTCAGAGGGTCTAGGGAGGATATTCTGGGTTTCGGGTCCCACACCGAGGAATGACCTCCCTCTGCACATTCGAGAGAGCCCTTTTTACGAGAGATATGTTTTTGAAACGCATCTTGACGCCCATTTTTATTCTTGGCCTTGAACTTGGGTTCAAACTCCATACCTGTTTCAGTCTTAGTTTTTATTTCTTATATTTGATTTTCATCTCTGTACCGCACTATGTCTCCAGCTGTGTTTTGTTGTTGTTGTTTTAAGAGTTCTTCATAATGTTGAGACTTGAGTAGATAGCTGACTGGCGATCGATCGTGACGGCATGGAACGCACTTTTGCTGCGTGTTCACTATCATAGCTCACGTATACCGTTTGAAAACGCTTCTCCCGGCACTCCAGATTCCCTTTCTTCGCCAGTGCCGTCGGTGAATCGTACAGAAAACAAACTTGGACCTGAAAGTAATAATTAAAAGAAGATATCGCGACAGCTCTGATCGCAAATTGTAGTTGCAGACGGCTGACCGCTAACAACTTCCGGTGATGCGGGTCATACGTCACAGTAGGTTCAAGGTGACCTGCTTTTTTTTTTTTTTGTAATACTGTACTTGTTTTGTGAGTGACACTGATAGGATGCTTATCGTGCCGTGTGAATTAACACAAAAATATATAATATGAATAACATATTGTGCACGCCTGCTCTAAAACAATTACATGCACTTGTATCTTAAAAATGGTGGAGCATCACGATTCCCTGTACGACTTGCTGGTGCCTCAGAGGGTCTAGGGAGGATATTCTGGGTTTCGGGTCCCACACCGAGGAATGACCTCCCTCTGCACATTCGAGAGAGCCCTTTTTACGAGAGATATGTTTTTGAAACGCATCTTGACGCCCATTTTTATTCTTGGCCTTTAACTTGGGTTCAGACTCCATACCTGTTTCAGTCTTAGTTTTTATTTCTTATATTTGATTTTCATCTCTGTATCGCACTATGTCTCCAGCTGTGTTTTGTTGTTGTTGTTTTAAGAGTTCTTCATAATGTTGAGACTTGAGTAGATAGATGACTGGCGATCGATCATCAGGATGACAGCCACTGGAAGGAGTGCCCAGGTTAAGAACCACTGGTCTAGAATCTATTCTCTCAATCAACTATGGATCTGTAAAGTGTGATTTAAATGTTGCCTTGTTTTGTTTTTGTTGTTGTTGTTTACAGTAGACATAGTAGTCGTGGCAAGTAGAAGACAAAATAAGTCTGTGTAACGTGTTTCACACTTTTATTCATAGAAAAGCACTGAGAGTCCAACACAAATCAATATAAAATGGTAGTAGCGATACATAAATAGTAATAAATTCTTGCTTTATAGACAGTAGCTCAAGAATCCGCACCCTTCCCCCCAACAAATTACAAATAAAAAAGTGATGTTAAGCTATCATACTTCTGTGGCAACAAATACTGGAAAATACCTTTTTAAAATCAGTAGCACGAAGAGGCAACAAACACTTTCAATATTCCCTTGAGTTGGAAACAATCCACAACAACATAAACGGGAAAAACAGTGGGTGACCGAATGAATGAATGCTACCGGCAAACAGTACTCGCCTACAAACGCAAGAAAAAAAAAAAGGGGAACGGATGTGGAAAAATACGCAAAGCTCCTCTTCCTCCTGCAAGCGTAAACAAACAAAGCTAGACAGAGGAAGTCACGATGCTGTCGGTTTGACAAGACGAATGGCGGGAAAGGCAGCTTTCGGCAGCTTCCTGTTCAAGCAACGGGCGCAAGTACCTGCCCCGGTCACGTGTTCGTGTCGTCGAGTGGACGTTCGCTTTGTGCGGAAGTTGCCACCTTCTAAATGATGCAGCACCTGCTTAGATCGAGTCTGCTGCAAAGCATCGATGTCGGCGATGCTGCTTCAAGTCGGCCGCACCGAGGCTAGCAGCTTGCGGAACGGGGGAACGGGCCCCGCCACAAAACAATTGGACCGAAGATGATATCAAACAATAGATTCAAGACGAAGGATTGAGGTCATCCAAAAGGCCATCCCACTAGTTCCTCGTTGCTTTTTGTGACGTTTCGGGGTTGTTCTCTCTTTTGCGGCTATAAGCGCCACCACATGACACCTCGAGAAGACACTAAAGGCGTTTAAGTCCTGATTGAATCAAACCTCACAAAGAAGTCAAGCAAAACTACTTTGTACATTGATAGGTCAGAAAGGCATTTTCCCAGTTTAAATGTTTCGCTGTCACCCATATGCTGCAAGAAAGCCAAGTCAGCGACTTGTTCATTGTCCCAGTGGCAACGCAGGCCGGACCTCGGCTTGGTTGCTTTCCCCCCCCCAGCCGCCTCTCTTGGGGTGGTTCGGTCCACTGCGTCTCAGCAGCTTGCGCACTTAAGGAGCCGTCTTGAGAAGCCCATCCGAGTGGTTCTGCATAGTCAGGTTTAAGTATGCAACTGTGCCCATTTTCCTCAATTTACACGCTGTTGCTGCTGCTTCTTTGTTTTTTTTAAACATTTTTTTTCCTTGCAAAGCTAAAAACAACAACAAAACACAGTAACAGTAAAATATAGCAAAACAGAAATGTACACAGGAGCACCTGAGAAAAGTCTTTGCTCTTACAAAAATGCTTTAAAATCCCCCATAACCAAAACAGTTCAATTACACCCCCTCTCAAAAAAAAAACAAATAAAAAATAAACACAACATACTGATCATAAATAATTAGAATTTTACAATTTTCTGAATTGACACTTTCATATTTACAATATCTTAAATGCTTAATGCTACTATTTTTTTTTCGTTTTGTGATGTCCCTGAGAACTAAGTTTAGCCTCTTTCCTTTTTCATTCTTCTGTTTCTTCAATTAACAAAAAACAAAAGGGGGAAAAAAACGTGGATTCGGGATGGAATGTAAAAAAAAAAAAAAAAACAAGAATGACCTAACTTGGTTTGTGTGTGACTTTCTACTGCTGTCTTACAACAGTTCAGGGTTCCTACACACATGAGATTTCAAAATTCGATTATTTTTCCAGACTTTTACGAAAAACAATCTCTTGTGATGATAAGCAGTTTGGATAAAGGATGGATGGATATTCACTTTTTTAAATTCTTTTTTTAAGAGATCAAGGCTCTTGTAGGAGTCTTGTAAACATGAATATATTTCCATAAAATGTTTTCCATATTTTTCTATTCCTTGAGATTTAAGAAATCAAATTCCATACTTTTCAAAACTTGTGTCGGAACCCTGACAGTTACAGTATATCTAGAGTGTCTGACATACCCAACCAGCTCTTGATGATATCCAAATAGACTTCCGAGTTATGAGGTGACAGCAGCTTGTCATAGGAGGGACAGCCAGCCAGTAGGATTCGAGAGTGGTCCTCACACATGGAAATGAGGTGTTGCTCTGCCCTCCGTGTGCAGCAGGCATGATAATGGGCCAGTTTACTGATGGCGTGGCGGATTGAGTCGTCAATTGTGCCACTCACCTGGGAAGTGAGCCAAGACGAGACTTCACATCATGTTCAATGGACACCGGAACAAAATGTTAAAACCTTAATTGTAACTCTATAGAAAAGTGAAAATAAATTATATTCATTTTATTCAGTTCTTCACCCCAAAAAGTGAGTTTTATTCATGACTGATGTCCTAAGATAGCAGGTTTTAAGGGTTTTGCATTATTTCGCATGCTTAAGTTTTGAACAGTGAAATGAAAAGAAACTCCCTCAAGGTCAGGTATTTTAATTCATCCGTGATGTGGAAGTTGCTAGAAACACTGCCAGAAATATTGCCAGGGCATCACAACAAATCTCAATGGTCGATGAAACTGCGCTGGCAGAAGGATGACTTATTTCTTACTTATTTGTAACTGCACATACAGCTTGTTTAAAAGTTTAATTTGAATCTTTATATTCATTTATATGTGAATACATTTGGATTGATTCATTCATTACAGACAGCTGTTTTCATATTCTTAAAGTTTGAGAACCATTCTTTAATATAATGTTACAATGTTTTGCTTCCAGACAAGAATATTAATTATGAATAAAACCTCTGCCTATTTTTTTGATTCACACTTAAGCGTACTACGCTACTGTATTTCAATGTAACTCATGATGGTGGTACTTGGAAAGCAAGGAATTCTTTTGGTAAGAAGTTGGACAACCATTAGCTTATTAAAAGTCCGCTTAGTTATTCATTCACTTCCTTCTCACCTCTCCTCCCTCTAAGTGAAGTATCCTAATGTTCATCAGTGCAGCAGAAGTTGCTAGAGCCAGTGCATCAAAACGATCTCCATGGATAATGACAAGATCCGGGCGCAATCTTTGTAGGACATCTGGAAGTTTGACCAGAGCAAGCCCAACACTCTCCACCATGGCTGCCTCATCCTCCCCTCGAACAATTGTGTGCAGTTTGGAGCTGATGTCAAAGTCATCCTGCTCAATCATACGAAAAGTGTTCCTATGACACAGGCAGAAAACAATGTTTAAATGGCTGTGGTGGTCAGTGGACCCTTGCATATTTGCGGTTAGGCAATGACGAATTCACCTAGTCGTGGATTAGTTTGGAACCTTTCTTCCATGGTTTAAATAAAAGCTCGCCCATTCGTGATTTCCTGTAATGCGGGAAAAGAGCGAAAACTTTTTTTGCCCATTTCGTGCCACATTATTTTAACCACGCTTCCTGCTTGTGGAGGCTCTCAGTCGTACAGGAAAGTTCCATCGTAGAAAGGGTTCTGTCAGTCGTCATCTGTACCTGTGGGTAAAAAACAAAAAACAAAAAACAAAAAAGGACGTTTCGCTTCTCTCACAGAAGCTTCGTCAGCGGTAGACAACCCTGAAGTCTCCGTGAAGACTCCGGGAAGTTGCTCTGCGCTAAAAAGCTGAGCGTGGCCTATTTGAGGACTGTCTGTGTACCTTATATTGCCGGCCTCTCAGAGAAAATACAAAGAATATTTCTACAACATGATATTCCTGTTTATTTTAAACCGATAAACACATTGAGACAAAAACTAGTACACCCCAAAGACCAGGTTCCCAACACCCAAAAATGCAATCTGATTCATTCCATCCGTTGCCAAGAAAGTGAGTGCAAGAAACATTACATCGAAGAAACCAAACAAACACTCAAGAAAAGACTTTATCAACACAAATGGAAAAACAATGATAACAAAAGTGCAGTATACGCACACTTAAAAGAAACAAACCACACAATTGAAGATGAACAAGTAAAAATCATAGGAACAGAAAAGAGATGGTTTGAAAGGGGAGTAAAGGAAGCGATTTTTGTTAAAAAATTTTCACCCTCTCTGAACCGTGAAGGAGGTAACAGATTTAACCTGTCTCCTATTTACAATAACTTGTTGACCACCAAGGGACATAGACATGCTGATCAGGCCAAATGAAAGTAGCTATTCAGCCCTAGCCCAAACAATAGGCCTAATCAAGACCCAACGATAGGGAATTTAGAAATCAATGGGCCTCTTCACCATAGGGACGTGACTAACCATCCCCACCCAGTCCTCAAACAGGCCACGCTCAGCCTTTTAGCGCAGAGCAACTTCCCGGAGTCCTCACGGAGACTTCAGGGTTGTCTACTTTTTTTTTTTTTTTGGTCTTTTAAAATTTGGAGGCCAGGGAGAGAGAGCGAGAGAGCTGATCAAAATCACTTCTACATCTTCTGAGATAATTGATATAAATCTGCTCATTTACTGTGGCCCAATCAGTGTGGTGCTGCGCACGCACGTTGTGACAAATTTACCGACGCACACACTCACAGTGTGTACTCGGCACATCTTGATGGCCTGATTGTCTAGTTTCATGGCTCCGCAGAAATCTGTAATGAATGAAAAAGGGCCATTGAAGGAGGAATAGAAGAAAAAGATTCTGATTAGAGATAAATGAGTGAAAGATTGATGGAAGTGCATCAGCCTCCATGTGCTTCATTTAGTTCCAATCTGGTTGCTTCCAAGGGTGAAAAATGTGGAATTAATGGCACCAGGTGCTTTTCTGGGGTGGTGGGATGGGGGCCCAGACAGTGAAATTGATGGAGAACCTCAGACCACGTCTGAGATGGAGCAAGTCTGGAACACGTACAGCATCTGGACCAATTGGTTTTTTCGAGATCGAAGCCAAACTATCGCCAACAGAGCGACTATTCCAATAAGTAGCTCAGGCGGAGACACAGCCAAGTTGAACCCCTCTCAAAACGTGTAAAAGAAACTCAAGGCTCCAATCTTGGAGAAAAAAAATTGAAAAGCAAGTACATTTTATTGTACAGTTTAGTGTAATTCAACTGTGACGAGGGTGGGAATGATTCCACATAACAAATTTTTCAATCACCTTTGAGCTTTGGTTTCCTTTTTTAACCGCGAGAATGAGCAATATAAGATTTTTATTGGTTTGTCAAAGTATGTTCAACCATAACAAGGCATAAACACACCAAACTGAAAAAGACTGGGCCAAAGATGGACTTTTCAAGCAACCGACTTCTCGCGATCGACAAGTGACCGCAGCTCACGCAGTTAGACACACGTGCGCCATGATGAGCAACAGACGTAACGTGAACGGAACAGAAAAATAAAGTGGATACAAGAGTTTGTGGAAAAGGAATTCACTGCCTACCTTAGTAGAGACGTGACGGCATGGAACGCACTTTTGCTGCGTGTTCACTATCATAGCTCACGTATACCGTTTGAAAACGCTTCTCCCGGCACTCCAGATTCCCTTTCTTCGCCAGTGCCGTCGGTGAATCGTACAGAAAACAAACTTGGACCTGAAAGTAATAATTAAAAGAAGATATCGCGACAGCTCTGATCGCAAATTGTAGTTGCAGACGGCTGACCGCTAACAACTTCCGGTGATGCGGGTCATACGTCACAGTAGGTTCAAGGTGACCTGCTTTTTTTTTTTTTTGTAATACTGTACTTGTTTTGTGAGTGACACTGATAGGATGCTTATCGTGCCGTGTGAATTAACACAAAAATATATAATATGAATAACATATTGTGCACGCCTGCTCTAAAACAATTACATGCACTTGTATCTTAAAAATGGTGGAGCATCACGATTCCCTGTACGACTTGCTGGTGCCTCAGAGGGTCTAGGGAGGATATTCTGGGTTTCGGGTCCCATACTGAGGAATGGCCTCCCTCTGCACATTCGAGAGGGCCTTTTTTTACGAGAGATACGTTTTTGAAACGCATCTTGACGCCCATTTTTATTCTTGGCCTTGAACTTGGGTTCAAACTCCATACCTGTTTCAGTCTTAGTTTTTATTTCTTATATTTGATTTTCATCTCTGTATCGCACTATGTCTCCAGCTGTGTTTTGTTGTTGTTGTTTTAAGAGTTCTTCATAATGTTGAGACTTGAGTAGATAGATGACTGGCGATCGATCATCAGGATGACAGCCACTGGAAGGAGTGCCCAGGTTAAGAACCAGTGGTCTAGAATGTGTTCTCTCAATCAACGATGGATCTGTAAAGTGTGATTTAAATGTTCCCTTGTTTTGTTTTTTTGTTGTTGTTGTTTGCAGTAGACATAGTAATCGTGGCTTGAAACGCATCTTGACGCCCATTTTTATTCTTGGCCTTGAACTTGGGTTCAAACTCCATACCTGTTTCAGTCTTAGTTTTTATTTCTTATATTTGATTTTCATCTCTGTATCGCACTATGTCTCCAGCTGTGTTTTGTTGTTGTTGTTTTAAGAGTTCTTCATAATGTTGAGACTTGAGTAGATAGATGACTGGCGATCGATCATCAGGATGACAGCCACTGGAAGGAGTGCCCAGGTTAAGAACCACTGGTCTAGAATCTATTCTCTCAATCAACTATGGATCTGTAAAGTGTGATTTAAATGTTGCCTTGTTTTGTTTTTGTTGTTGTTGTTTACAGTAGACATAGTAGTCGTGGCAAGTAGAAGACAAAATAAGTCTGTGTAACGTGTTTCACACTTTTATTCATAGAAAAGCACTGAGAGTCCAACACAAATCAATATAAAATGGTAGTAGCGATACATAAATAGTAATAAATTCTTGCTTTATAGACAGTAGCTCAAGAATCCGCACCCTTCCCCCCAACAAATTACAAATAAAAAAGTGATGTTAAGCTATCATACTTCTGTGGCAACAAATACTGGAAAATACCTTTTTAAAATCAGTAGCACGAAGAGGCAACAAACACTTTCAATATTCCCTTGAGTTGGAAACAATCCACAACAACATAAACGGGAAAAACAGTGGGTGACCGAATGAATGAATGCTACCGGCAAACAGTACTCGCCTACAAACGCAAGAAAAAAAAAAGGGGAACGGATGTGGAAAAATACGCAAAGCTCCTCTTCCTCCTGCAAGCGTAAACAAACAAAGCTAGACAGAGGAAGTCACGATGCTGTCGGTTTGACAAGACGAATGGCGGGAAAGGCAGCTTTCGGCAGCTTCCTGTTCAAGCAACGGGCGCAAGTACCTGCCCCGGTCACGTGTTCGTGTCGTCGAGTGGACGTTCGCTTTGTGCGGAAGTTGCCACCTTCTAAATGATGCAGCACCTGCTTAGATCGAGTCTGCTGCAAAGCATCGATGTCGGCGATGCTGCTTCAAGTCGGCCGCACCGAGGCTAGCAGCTTGCGGAACGGGCCCGCCACCAAACAATTTGACCGAAGATGATATCAAACACTAGATTCAAGACGAGGGATTGAGGTCATCCAAAAGGCCATCCCACTAGTTCCTCGTTGCTTTTTGTGACGTTTCGGGGTTGTTCTCTCTTTTGCGGCTATAAGCGCCACCACATGACACCTCGAGAAGACACTAAAGGCGTTTAAGTCCTGATTGAATCAAACCTCACAAAGAAGTCAAGCAAAACTACTTTGTACATTGATAGGTCAGAAAGGCATTTTCCCAGTTTAAATGTTTCGCTGTCACCCATATGCTGCAAGAAAGCCAAGTCAGCGACTTGTTCATTGTCCCAGTGGCAACGCAGGCCGGACCTCGGCTTGGTTGCTTTCCCCCCCCCAGCCGCCTCTCTTGGGGTGGTTCGGTCCACTGCGTCTCAGCAGCTTGCGCACTTAAGGAGCCGTCTTGAGAAGCCCATCCGAGTGGTTCTGCATAGTCAGGTTTAAGTATGCAACTGTGCCCATTTTCCTCAATTTACACGCTGTTGCTGCTGCTTCTTTGTTTTTTTTAAACATTTTTTTTCCTTGCAAAGCTAAAAACAACAACAAAACACAGTAACAGTAAAATATAGCAAAACAGAAATGTACACAGGAGCACCTGAGAAAAGTCTTTGCTCTTACAAAAATGCTTTAAAATCCCCCATAACCAAAACAGTTCAATTACACCCCCTCTCAAAAAAAAAACAAATAAAAAATAAACACAACATACTGATCATAAATAATTAGAATTTTACAATTTTCTGAATTGACACTTTCATATTTACAATATCTTAAATGCTTAATGCTACTATTTTTTTTTCGTTTTGTGATGTCCCTGAGAACTAAGTTTAGCCTCTTTCCTTTTTCATTCTTCTGTTTCTTCAATTAACAAAAAACAAAAGGGGGAAAAAAACGTGGATTCGGGATGGAATGTAAAAAAAAAAAAAAACAAGCAAGAAAATGTCCCTTTTTTTAATCATCCTGTGAACATCACAGGCTTGACGACTGCCGTTTTTCGTTATACCAAGTGAGCGAACATCAATAAATAAATGAAGTAAATGCTGAAAACGCCAGGAACGTCCTGAAGAGGTATTTGTGTCAAGTGCTTGTAGAATGACGTTTTGTCCGACCGGTAATATTAACGCTCTCGCCGCAGGATGAACTCGAGTTCCGATACTGCCAAGAACAGCAGCTCAAAAGTCCAACTCAAAATTGCTTTTGAGGGTGACGTTGAATCTTTCGGGGAACATGTCAACAATGTTGGCCCATATTAAGATTTCAAGCGCCTCATACACTTGCGACATTGTTAGTGCTGCTTAAAATGTGTTTGGAGAGTTTTCAAAAATAATACGAATTTTCACAGCTTTCCGCTGGTTGTTGTGTTGATCTGTAACAAATCCCAGTCGCTTTCTTTTTGACTAGGGTCACCAAGCAACCCGGGTGCGGCTTGCACCGGGATTTAATACTTTCATGGAGGAAGGTGAGGTGGTCTCAACGAGGCCCAAATAGATGTCAAACTTTCCAACCGAATGCCAGTCCAAAATAAACGCGGAGGCTGGGACGATATCATGCTGAACGGTAAAAACTTGAAATTGCATGCAAAAATGAATCGCACAGTCCAAATCGTTTAGATTAGTGGGAGAAAATGACAAAATCATCTCCAATTTACAGGAGGTGTGTGCATGGATCTGAAAAAAAAAAAAGAACGGCTCTTCCGATACTGGTCTCCTCTGGTTTTGGTCTGCCTCTTTGGATTTTTTTTTTCCCAACCCGCTGTTGTGGCTTGCCTTCTCTATTTCCAAGCCCTGAACGAAACAAGGTGATTTCTCAACAGCGACATTAAAGCTGATAAATAATACAGGTGAGGTCTGATAGTAACACTGTGTGTGTGTGTTGTCATCCTCAGAGGGTCCCTTTTTTTTTTTTTGTCCTCCACTTTTAAAGCTCACTTCTTCCCAGCTGCTTCAGCTGTCTAACTAATCTCTTGGTTTTTGTATCACATGCCACATAAAAATGAAAGCTCGTTCTGCTTTTCACAATCTGATGACTTTTTTTTTTTTTTGTAATTCAACATTCGTAGGAAGTGGGCAAAGCAGCCGTGTTTTCTCGTTTATCTTTGACATATTGAGCCATTTGCCCCTCTTAGCAGTTTCAGTGAAGTAGAGCAACGCACTGCGAACACTTCCTGGTTCACATTTAAAACAAAAAAAAAACACACACTGGAGAAAAAATGTTCGTCAACAAATGGCTCAACTTAACAAGTAAAGGAATTCAAATGAATTTTAAATAGACATACAGAAGATGAGCTCTTCTGAAAAGAATGATTCCTCGAAGGGAGGGAGGGGGGCTTGTGTGGGGTCAACCGAATCGCTCCCTGACCAGCATCATGAGTTTCTTCTTGCCCTTGTAGATTTGTTTGAGGTTGTCTATAAACTGGGCAAACTGAATGTGGCCGTCCTGCGCCAGCAGGAACGTTTCCCGCGCCTTGCTCAGGAACTCGATAAACTCTCCGTAGTGCCGCGGACTGATGTGCGTCAGTCGAGAGTGCGTGGTGTTGATGTACGCCGAGATGGTAGCGTCCAGCAGCTGCCGCAGAGGCGCCTTGTCCGTTGACATGAGCTTGCCAGAGTTCCTCCTGCCGGGAATGCCGGCGAGACCCGGGGCCGTCATGGTGCACCGCCGCAGGATGTCGGAGAGCACGGTGGCGCAGTGCACACTCTTCACCACCAGGGGGATGATGGCGGCCAGCTCGTTTTTCCCCAGAGAGTGGCTGAGCGCGCACGCCCACAGAACGTCATTAATGGCCGGGTGTGTGTCCTGGTTGTAAGCCAGGTTCAAGTGGGTCATGGCGAGGGAGGCCAGCTTAAATGAGCGCAGCGGGTAGCCTCTGTGTTCCATGTACCTGGCGATGGTGAAGAGCTGCGAGTAGGTCATCCCGGTGGACGCCGCTTCGATCACAATCTGGTAGGCCCGCTCAAAGGCGATGTGGTCCTTCTCGCAGAGAGTCAGAGCCGACAGGGCGCAATTCTGAGGGTCCTTCATGGCGCACTGCAGCGCCAGCATCCTCGCGCAACTGGCCAGCTCCTCTCGTTGGGGGTAATCCAGGCTGAGGCGCAGGATGGTGTTGTGGGACATGACGGTGGCCGCGACAATACTGGTGGCTTCGGTGGGCGTGAAGAGCGTGTACCAGCTCTGCAAAATGCTCACGAGAGCGCGAAGGCCTGAGGGCGACAGAGACGCAAGCGATGGAATAAGAGAATTGTGTGATCATCGCGTTCCACCACTAAGTTGCAGGGCATAGAGACCGAGACCTGCTCAAAGTCAAGCTCATCGACATGATCATACAAGTGATGTCCACATGATAAGGAGTCAGAATGACAATTTTGTTTGCCAGCTGTTGGTGAGTGGAAGTTCAAGTTTCAACATACCCACTTCAGTGGCGCAGGTTACCAGCCAGCGGACCATCTCTCTCCTCCTCCAGTTGAGAGTGGACAGAGTCATTCTCATCACCTGCCGCATGAACGGGGACGATACGATCATGCAACTGTGCTCAAAGGGAACAATAACTTTCAAGTGTTCAACTGTGTATCTTGGGCATGTGTGAGTTTCCCCGTGACGCATATGATTCGGGTCACTTTGGTTTCTTCAATGTTCTTCCCACCCTCCACCCCCAATTCATCATCATCGGTAAAAATGCATTTTTAGCAATATAACCCACACACAGAAAAAAAATACAGAAGCCGTCAAACGCAATCGGATTTGAATCGATACAGGCCATAGATTTGAATCCACAATGGCTTCAATTTTATCTGGATCTCATTCTGTTTAGAAGTACTGTATCTATGTCAAACCTCATCAGGGCAGGGTGTATTTCATACCATGAGAGAGCTTTCGAACACAAATACTGTCTTATCCAGATAACCCCCACGGAAAACCAAGTGTCTCGCGGGCCAAAGCTCACTTGTGTATTTTGCGGGGAGAAATTCTTGTTTGGCGTGAGGCCGTAGCAGCCTGGAAAGTACAACCACGCCTAAGCAGATTGTATCCGTGTCTCCTAATGTTATAGAATGACAGATGTGTCCTAAAACTCGAGAAGACTGAGGCACGTACGGGGACACGTGCGCCAACACCCACACCCACGCGCGCTACCTGAAGTCCGAGCTCCAAGGCCACATTGAGCAGCGTGATGTCGGGTGGGCTGTCAGCAGGTGTCGCTATTTTGAAGGCATCCTGGGCTAGCTTAAAGATTAAGGAAGAAGAGTGGATGTTTTTCTGGATGGCCTCCAGAACTGTCCGCAATCTCAACATATCACCTGGCGATGAGGAGCAAAGGCAGTGTTACGATTTTGCTTTGCAGTCTCGATCAGACCGCGGCTGGATTTACAGCTGGGAGTTTACCTTTAGCGGCGGTTAGCATGGTCGAAGCCAGCTCACACTGCTGTGACTCCAAGTGCCCGAGAGTGAACCAGCGCGGATATCGACTTGGAACGATGGAAATGCCATGATGAGGGTGACCGACATCTCCGGAGCCTGCAGATGACTCCAGAACTGGCAACCTGGAGAAGAAAATGCACAACTTCGGATTCATACCATTGACAAGGCGACAAAGATAATGTCTTAATAGATGGTCACTCTCAAGTTAAAAAAAAAAAAAATCAATATCATTTTGTCGCTAATAACTAGCCGGCATCTACCGGATGAAAGCAGCAATCAATCGTGTCATCTTTAGATCAGTCACATTTGCGAGTAGCAATGATGCGAACGCCGGATGTCGGATCATCACTTCAAAATTATTATGTTTACATTATTAGACATATTTATTACTCCTGAGTGGTGCATTTCTTTGTAGTTCACTGTGTTATTTTATTCTACAGTTGTACAGTAGAAAAACACTGTTTGAAATGAATGAAAAAAAACCCCAAAACATCTGTTCATGATGTTTAAATACTATCATTATCTTTGTTGTCAGTACCAGTGCTTTAAGAATGGCAAATATCAATCATATCAATGGGGGAAACAAAATGGTTGCCGGTCTGTGAACAGCGTGGACTTGTCTCAACTGGTCCGTGACCACTGGTGTATCGCATAGCTTTATTTTGTTCCTTTGTGCATGACTACACAGAACCGATATCATATTTCATGCCAATATTAGAAAGCAGCACTTTCGTTCTTCCTGGAGAAAACAAACAAACAAAAAAAATGATCCAAAGGATCACGCAGGGAGTGGACTGAGACCAAGCCTTCTTTGAACAATTTAACAGGTGGCGCATCAACATGAGACGGAGCATGCAAGCGAATCGGTTCAAAAGTCTGACCTCATGGCGCGGAGAGCCACCTTATATGCCAGGTCTGCATCATGTGGCAGCAGGGCAGAAAAGAGGTACTTGGCAAAAGTGTGCATAGGAACACTCTCCCTGTGGATGACCTCGCCGAGACCGCTGAATGGACCAGCTGCGCAGATGCAAAACATTCATCACTCAAAATGGCAAGAGACATATTTTATTCAGATATATTAATTTAAGGATGTATTTTTTTACGTGTTTCACTTGCTCCCAAAAGTATTGGAATGGAGATTTTTTTATTTTAGGGAGGGGGGGGGGGGCGTTTGATTGTTGTACCTTCCAGTAGCTGTATGGCCTGTTTCCGGAGGGTCTGGACTAGCACGTGATCCAGCTCGAGCTCTTGCAGCTTTGTAACAATTTGCTCTTCATTGCGGCACACCTAGAGAGCAACAGACCATACCACATAAGATTCAAAGGGTACACATTGCAAAATATTCTCTCCAGTATATGCTAAAGACATGATGTTACAATACACACACACACACACACACACACACACGCGAAAAGGCAAATTTTAAATGTATGGACAATCCACACTTCAGGGACTTTCACACCTTGTCCTGAGCGTAGAGACCTTCTGGCATAATCCGTTGTTGGCCCATGCCCATCAGAGTGACCTCCAAGGCAAGAGTCAGGTAGGACTCTCCTCCATCATGACTGCCCCACACTGGCACATGGTGGTAGACGGGACGTCTGGGCTCACCATCTGATGGATGGGTGGGAGGGGCGATAAATACAAGATCATCAGACCATGATTTCAGGCATTGCAGTGCAGGTTAGATTGGTTTTACGATGTCAGTTGAAGGTTTACTGGAAAGCGGGTGGTGCAGGTGGAGGAAAAAATCAATTTTGGCTCATAGCCGCAAAGATTTTCCGACCTAAAAGCGACTGTTGTTCAATTCATGTTTGTGATTTTGTACCTCCGGTGTCCATGGCGCTGTCATCATCGACCCGGCATGTTTCGGTGAGTGTTGTAAATAGGCAGCCAATGGGGTCCAGAGGATGTCCTACCCAACCTTCCAGGTTAGTGGTGGTGGTCACACCCCTCTGAAGAAGCTCTGCGGGAGGGACAGAAGCAGAGTAAACCCGCCCTGTATTACCAAGTTGTCCCTAAATATGACACAAATTACAGTCGAACCTCTTTTCAGCGTACCCCTTGACTAGGTTTCCACCCCTATAACGGCCACATTTCACGTCATTTATTTTCTTAATTTGATTATTATTCTATTTTATTGTATTTGCTTACAATGTACACCTCGAGGTAAGTTGTAACGAGGTTCGACTGTAGTACACGTTGACAAGAAAAGTGGTGGGCATGAGTGGGTGTGGATGTGTGCATTACCTTTCTTTTGGTGTTTATAGATATCCATCTCACGCTGCTGTAGGAGGCGGAGCGTGTTGATAATGGCCACTGCCAGTCGCAAGGCTTCCCTGGAGTAACCGTGGGAACGCAAGGCATCTACACGAGCACATGCTGTCGGGACGTGATCTGTGTGTTTGACAGGAGGCAAGGTGGAGACATGTTCAACACACACACACAGAAATTGTGTGTATGCAGTTTCCTTCATGTCTTCTTTGTGACTGACAATGCATTTCCCGCAAAGCTTCTGTTTACATCATGGATGACCCGGATGACCACGACTGCGCACGTGCGTTGCAGACAGGCAAAAAGCGAGCGGGAGAAGCAGGAAAGGGGACAGTTTTGAGACGAAACCAACGATCCAAATAAATGATTACATAAATAAACAACTTGTCGACGATTATATTGTCAACCGTTTTGATTGTTGGCGGAGTCGTGATTCGGAAGCCCAAGAAATGCAAATTACCGGCTAACATTTTTGTGCTGCTTTTGCGGCGGGAATCCAGTGTAGTGTGGAATCATTTACGCTCGGGTGAATTTAGTCTTATGAGGTTTTCAAAAATAAAGCTGTCTATGAAAGGGAAAAAAAAAAAAAGAATAATTTCTAGATTCAAGTTCATAAAGCTAATAATACTGTTTAAAAATACATCTATAGTAAAGGTTATTTGAAAGTGAAACATTAATAGAAACAAATGGATAGCCAAAGTCAGATTATCTCCTCCAAATATTAAAGGGTCAACATCTCCATTCCAATGTACCCGTTTCATTGTTGCTCATCGATGAACGTTTTCAACGTTTGACATGCTTCACTCACTGCGCGCTTGTGTGTGCGTACCAAGCCAGAGGGGCAGGCCCTGGGGATTAAACAGCAGGCTCTCCTCATCTCGCTGGTACGATGGAGACATGTAGTAATCACTGCTGATGATCCTCTGAAGGTGGCTGCCCTGCCAGTGGAGGTTGCAAGCCTCGACCGCCCGGCTGAACACCGTCCTCCTTGGCCGAGACAGAGCGTCTGACAAACAAAACACGCACTCAAAACTATGCGATTGTACGTGGAGATTGTAAGAAGCCATGCGTATCGGTGTTGATGCTGAGACTCTGTGTTTGGAGTCATAATTGGACTCCAAAGCGTTGATACTACGACAGTGATAACAATCGACCGGGCCGCCGTTGACCTTCAGGGTAGGAGCCATGTCAACCATCCTTGAGCTACTTTAAGGTTCACATGGATGACAAATGGCAGACAAGGAAGTTCTGCTCTGCAAAATGGATGGGGAAATCCACTCGGGTGACAACAGAAGCGGCCGCCTGATTGAATTAAGGTGACAGGTTGTCTGCAAGCGAGTTTCTCGAGCTCCAACCGAGCTGGCAGTCCGTGCTCCTGCTACGAATTCACGGCATTGCGTCGCAGCACAATGGCCGCCGTCACGGTGTTAAGAAGTGTTTTCCGTGAAACTTGTGCCGGTTTTGAGAAAAGTCTGCGTTTTCATGAAAGATTTGAAGGCAATAAAACACTTTTTCGGCAGTTACAAGACAAGACAATACTTGGTGTGAAAAAAGTGGTACGTGCGTGTTTGTGTACTGACCCTGAGCAAGGTTGCTCTGCGGGAGAGCATTGGTGATGTTTGGGAGCTCGCTCCCGTAGTTGCCGTCTTCTAGCGGGCACACATCCATGTCGCTCCACTTCTTCAGCTGCTTGAGCCAACAGCTCTTCTCTTCGCTCTTACAGTGGGGGTTTAACACCACACACACCCACAGTGCACCTAAGGGTAGTCCAGGTCAGCAAGTCATTGTCGAGGCTTTGAGTAATGAAAATACCGTGCATTGGTGTTTTTTGAATGTGAACAACGCATCTTCAAACCGGGTTGGGGTTTTCTGTCTTGGTCAATGCCATGACATCACTGACAAACATGAGGCAAAGGAGACTGGGTGTTATTTTTATTTCGGTTGTGTGTCGTGATCAGCCCTCGCTCACCCAGGAAGTGTTCTCATTGGCCTCCTAAATGCTGAGATTGATTGCGGAGAAGCTGAGCAGCTTTATTGATTTGAGGGTTTCATTGCCGCATGAGTGAAACGAAAGGCCCGGACGGCCAGGGAAAGAACGGCGAGAAACGACATCGAGACACATTTTCACTGACTGTACTCACCCAACTCATCCCAAAGCTGCCGGCATTTGTCCGTCATGCCTGTGCCTTGCTGTCGCCATAGCGATAGTCGAGGGTCTGCCATAAACTGTTCGGTTATGAGAGTCAGCATCCGGGCACCGTTGGAGTCACGCATTCGGAGCATCTCACGCACCTAGAAAGACAAAAAAAAAAAAAAAAAAAACAGGGGTTGTCATTTTTTTAGAATTGGCAGTTTTCCAACTTAGTTTAACTGATGTATGGGAAGGCTTAAAAAAAAAAAAAAAAACACAGGTGTTGTCATTTTTTTAGAATTGGCAGTTTTCCAACTTAGTTTAACTGATGTATGGGAAGGCTTGACATGAAGGGCAAAGTGCAATTAGCTTAATTTACAGTTAAGGCTCAAAATAATTTCACAGTGATGAGCAATTTTGAGAATCAATTACTTCCTATGAGGAGCAATTTACACACTTTAAAGAGCATTTTTTCTGCTTATGTGCAGGGACCTGAAGCAAGGGTTTTGCGAAACAATAAAAGTATAATAATAACAATAATGGGAAAGTTTAACGCAAGGTTGAAGCTATTGATTTTTTCAGTATTCGTTTATCCTACTATAAAAATATTTTGTGTTTGGCAGGGCTGGGCAATTATGGAAATACTGTAGTAATACAGTACTATGATTGTTCCTTGATTTCAATGCTTAATTCATCTACTAAAACACAACTTCAAATCTAACTTGAAAAAAAATACTGAAACTAAATGAGTAAATAATTTAAATAAATGATGAAAATAATAGCAATTTAAAAAAAAACATCAAAATAAATACCGGCAGTTCCTGCTATGCACGCGTTGGCCTCTTAGGGGCAGTGTGCTGCTGTGCTTGCACCAATATACGCACAGAATAGTAGAAAAAGAAAGTTGTGATTGAACTCTATTAATGCATCTTTTTTCTATATAGGGGTTTAATAAAAGCGTTCACGTGACTCATTCTTCATAGATTAGGAACAATAGATGCCCCTCTTGTTCTCTTACTTACTCCAGTAATTGTGTGATGTTCAATCTCACTCCCAAACCTCAATGCTAATTTTCTCTGAGCACATCAATGGGATTTTATATTGACTGCCTCCTAGTGCATTTAAAAACAAAGTTGTTCGGGAATACTAAAATGAATCCAGCAGAGTAAAATGGACCTTAGCAAACATGGAGTTGAGCTGCTTCCCAGAGCCGTAGTATCCTCCCTGGGACAGAAACTGCTTGACTTGTTCCCTGACTTGATCTTCATCCAGATGCCAGCAATTGTCATCGTCAATGCTTGCGCCGGCAGTTGGATCGGGAGCACCTGAAAGAAACACAAGCGCACACTGAACAGCAGGTCGTCACGTGAGACATGCTGACAAAAAGAACGGCGAGTCCGGAATGACGTTCAAAAGGATCTATATCAAAGATTGTGTGACTTTGTGCGTTGGCTCTGCAGTGTCACGTTCTCAGCGCACTCAAAAGAAAAACGTGATACTTCCTGTCGTCATCCAGGATTTGGCCAGCTCTGCAAACTGAACTCTGCACAATGTGGAATTCGGTATTTATTTTGATCCGTGCGGCAGGAAGTGTGCCGACAAAACTTTGCTTTGGATTTCCTCTTTCTTCCCTGTGTTTCTAAATAATCCGATTTGAAAAAGGGGCAGGCGGCTTGCTTTGATCAAGCAGCAAGCTGAGGAACTGAAACCGCACGTTTCGAGCTGCCTGTGGGAAAGGCAAAGCAGCAAACGGCAACATTCCTCAATCAAAGCCTTGCTCATGGATCAACGGCCTCCATGACCCCGTTTCTCTTGTCAAACACAGACAGGAAGCGCGATGCGGCTTTGCTGAACTGGGGAGCTGTAGAATGTCAACATTAACGGAGGGAGACAAAATTGGAAAATATGTAAATACTTGTTTGGGGTTCGCCATATCCACTTCTTTTCATCGAGATGATCACATACCATTCCACTTTCTGTCGCATTCTTAACCGTGCCACCTCTAGAATGAGGCAGTAAATGGGGCGCAGCAGTCCAGTAATCAAATTAGCAATTTAAAACCGGACTTTGCGAGCCTCGGGTGCAGCGAGGCCCTAATTCGTGGCAGCCTCTGGGCTTACATAGCAGATATTTCATACGTGGAGCTCTTTGAAACTGGAGTCGTGTGCGCGTGTGCGTTGAAGAAGACTGTTGTCGCACCATGAACCTGGTTGATCTCGGAATTGGATGAGAGGATCTCGTCGGCCAGTTTCTGAGCTGTGGGCAGCACCTCTGTGTGGTGGGCTGTTATCAAGTACTGGACCAGCTTCTGCAACTGGTCTCTGTTCATCTGGAACAATGTTTCTGAGATGGGCAACCGAAGCTTCACCTGCAACATACACGCGATGGACACATAACATGATATCCCGAGGTCTCTGAACTTTACAACAACAACAAAGTATATATTACTTGAGCGCATATCCTCCAGCCTCAGCGGTCCCCGAGGAGAATGACATATTGTGCTAATTCAAATGAATGGAACCGGCGGGTGGTGCGCACCGCTCGGTAAAATGTTTTACTATTTCATCCATTGGTACGTTACATATGATTTTATATTAGAGCGAGCACTTATTCACTCAGCCGCCTCTCATTCCTTTGGCTGCCTCTCACAGTTGCTGCCACTGGCATCTCGTCTCATAAAGGTGAAACTGCATTCAATAAATTGTCAGAAATATTAAAAAATAAATAAAATAAAATCAATGAAAATCAGCTGGAAGACATCTCCACTGAGGTTAAGACGACCGCATGGCTCGCGGGAATTTTTACAAAATTTCATCCACTGGCATACATGAAATTGTCAATATGGTTCAGTATTGTTGTAAAAAATGTACACTGTATATGCTGTATTTCAGTGTCATGGTGGCGGGCGACTGTCTCTCGCTGGCTTGAACCCGGAAATGATTTTTCACCTGTGTGAAAGCCTCTGCGCATTTGACAGTGTGCAATTTGCAACGGCGCCACATCATGCAGCTGCAATTCATTTTTTGAATAGCCACAAAACCAGCGGCCAGACTCGGCACTCCTCAAATCTTATGGCAGAACCCCGCGGTGTCAAGGTTCAGTTGATAACACCCCATATGCTTGGTGCTTGTTGTCATGAAGGGGCAACGGAGGCCAGGCCAGGCCAACCGAGGCTGATGGGCTGTGGGGCCAGGCGGTTCCGGAAACTGTCATGCAAAAGCGAATCATGTGTATAGATTACCAGTTCAGGCTTGCGGATCCTGTACAGAGATAACGCCACCACGTGGGCGCAGTAGAAAATGTCTCGATTTCCACAGCCGCAGGTGACGGAGGTAATCTTGCAACGATCAAAGCTGATGGCCACCTTGTGGGTGACCTCTGGCTCCGATGAGGTGGCGGGTTCGGTTACCGTGCCGCTCAGGTGAAACCCTGCGTGCACAAGGCAAAGGGGAGACAGAAGGAAATTCAGGTTGGCTTCTTTTTCACTCCGATAAAGAAAAGAAACATCTTCACAATGGTTGAACTTTTTCCCCTCGTTTTTACAGTTTGAGTATTATTTTATCTGGAGCCGGTGTGCGGTTTGATAAGGAGAGAAAGGAGGTGGAAGCAAAGGAACGGCAAGGTTTCGATACCAAACTGTCAAAATTATAATGTACCCAATACCGTTATTTTAACGGTGACAGCCACCGAGCCGGCTGCAGACAACGGTCTTTGCATCAGGACAACACTTCCACATGCCTCTATAAAGTAAGATTGTCAGTTAAACGGGTGGTCCGCCATCTTTTTCCGTCATGGACCGGTTAAGACAAGTACATGCATTTTTCAGACCAGCAACCATTCGTCGTCAGCCCATTTTTTTGAGGAGATGTGAGGGGGCTGTATCTCTGCGGCCCAGTAGCGGCGGTTGGGGACCACTGAGTTAAACTATTGTGTGTCTTTAAAAAAAAAAACAATATGAAGCATTTGTTGGTTCATGAAATTATACAATTTAGGTACTCTCACATGCGAGTGCTCCTCAATGTGTTTGAAGGAGACAGTGTGTCTCCAGCAGCTGGGGATGCCAAAAAAAAAAAAAAAAAGATGCTGCATCCGACAGTCTGTGTGCACATCCACACAAACATAAAACACGGCACACAAAACACCTTTTCAAAGCCTGCCCGCTTTTGTTCTTAATGCCTCAACCAACAGATGAAATGAAAAAGCAGTGGTATTCACAGAAGAAACCACTGATCTCTCCCTCTCTCTCTCTCTCTACCTCTAACTCTGTCTCTCTCACACACACACAAACGCGCATGCGGACACACACACACACACACACACACACACACACACACACACACACACACACACACTGGTGTTTTGTTTTAAATGGTCAGGCTAGTTTGGCAACATATATTTATTTTGAACAAAGGTGATTTATGAGTGTGATGCATGCAAGCGGGGAACGTTGCGAAGCACAATGCTGCTTTGTCATCCAAAGAGAACATGCGACTCGGTGCAGCAAACGCGTGTTGCACTTTGCTCGTGTCGTACGTGCGCTTGCTTTGACGGTCTGCTGCCGATATCTCATCAACAAAGTGCGCATCATTAGGTGCTCATGACAAAACACATCTTCAGAAATAACCTCCACTTGCTGTGTTACATGAACGTGAGACTGCCCAAAGCCCAAACTGAGGAATTTGGCCTCCATGGAAATGAAAAGTTCTACATATGGGGATCATTCCGGAATGCTCAACACGACTGACGTGAACATTTGTGTTTGAGACAAACGCAAGCTCGTGAGCGTGGAGAGGGGGAGTGGAGGACAACAACCGCCATTGTACATCTTTCCATTGTACATCCACAATTGCACACACGGCACCGCCATCTGTCACATGCTGAAAACTCCGCCCACCCTGGGGCAAGTCAGCCAATGAGGAGGCAGACCATTCCTCACGCTCATAGGCCATTAACCCTAATCAGCTGGGGGAATGGAGTCGGGCGGCGAGCCAAAGTGTATATGTGTGCACGCGCATGCCCGCGCGCATTTACATAGACGCCAGTCTGATTCAGCTCATGCCTCACCACGGACAAACTCACTCCTCATTCCAAATTCCAAACCAATAATCCATTCATTTTATTTTCCTGTGCCTGTCCAGGAAACTTCCTTAATTCACTTTTTTTGACTTAACGGACGATGCATTTGATGGGAAAGGAGTGGCCGCAAATTTGCTTACTCGCCCACTCTCGGGCGTTTGAAAATTTGACCTTGTGGCAAAACAGCCAATCGCCATGAAAGAAAATAAAATACAGACGACGTCACACAACAGCAGGACACATTACACGTGCGGCATGGTGAAATAAACGATGTTAAGAGAATATCACTGCAGTCTTCGGGCACTTGAGAGGAATACCACAAGGCCATCTTCCAATACTGGCCGGGACCGAGCCAAAAGGAGCAGTCTTGGAGAACGGCCAGCGAGGAAGTTGCCGTACCTGGTGAGTGCGGTGACTTGTTTACAGCCATGAGCCAAGGCAGCTTGAAGAATTCCCCCAAGTTTTTAGCTCAATCTCCACCCCCACCAGATTGATTTGAGATCATCAAACCTTTTTTTTCATCTTTTCCGCGTGAAGAAACCCTCCCTAAAGTTAGCCCACGAAGAAAAATAAGCAATACTTTGCGTTCCATCTGAACCTAGCATTAAGGCCACACAATACCAAGGGAACCCACGACGATGAAGAAACCATGCGCAGCATATGGCTAATTTAACACTCTCTGGAGGTGTCAAACATCAGATTATCATTTCGTTATACATTTGTGGGTGAGCCAGACAAAGCGCATAGAAGCCAAAACCTCGATTCTTCCTCGTTTGGCCCCTCACCGCTCCTTTGCAAACGCCCCCCCCCCCCCCCAGCAGTAAACATATCCCCTGCAGCCCTTCCCATCTCCCATCTGCTGTGACAGCTCCAAGGTTAACACAGCACCCCTTTGCACGCTCCCACTCACACAGACACCCACATGGCCCCGTATTCAATCAGCCGTCTATCTGCGCGCAGCAGACGCGCATATGCACAAATACGCATTGGCCACGCGGAATCATCTCCTCCCCCCGCCTATCCATCTTTGCATCCATCCATCCATCATTCAGTCATCGTCCTTTCCTTTTACGCTGTTTGCTGATGCGATAATAACCGGATTGCTTCAGTTGTGATTTCCCAGCAGCCCTGCCCCAACACGCGTGCAAACTCCGTCACCGCGGGGACTCATTTGTCATATTTCCACTGAATTGATTACCTGATTTTCTCTTTTGTGGTGCAACGGGGGAAAAGAGGAGAAGCGGTGGGTGAGCGCTCGGGGTGGCGGGGTGGTGGTTCGGGGGCAGGTTAATGAAGTCCCTTTCATCTTATGTGCCAGCATCAAAAAGCAGAAAGACGGCCCTGCTGGAACAGGTGGACGTCGGCAACAAATTGCCCACCTGACTGTCCAGGGGGTCGTGAATGAAAACAGTTCATTCTTAAAGAATGACTATCACAATGATGATATTAAAGCATGCTACGAGTAAAGTTTCTGATGTGCACGCGCGCATGCACACGCACAACAGACAGACAGACAGACACTCTTGTCTTAAGGTAAACAAGGGGGAGGGACAGGGGGAGGGAGGGGACGGCCTCCTTCGCTTGCCAGCCTCTAAAATTCAATCAAGGATTCGATGTGTCTAATTTGAAAAGAAGCCATACAACCAGAGAGCCAAGGCAGTTCAATTCGAGACGGGCACACATTCTGCAGTCAAAGGAGTCACTTGGTCAATTCAAGCGAGCCATTGTCAGGGTGTGCGTCAAAGCAATCAAGGTTACTCTGAGAGGAAGAACCGAAATGTTGCTTTCAGCTTGCACGAGAATACGGGAGAGCTGCCATGACGCGCACGGACGCATTGTGTCCAACGCAAAGCACAACTTGGGGTGAAGACGAATCGAAGGGCATCTGAGCGTGCGTGTCAAACGCTGTCCTTTCTCCACTTTGTGTGGGTCCAGTTCATTCAAGGCTAGATCATTGTGAGAATACCACTTTTAAATTTTTTTTTTTTATTACAATCGTGCTTTAGACTGCTAACACTCCCATGAGTCATGCGAGTGTTAGCTTAGTGAATTGCTATTCATTCATTAAGAATGAATAGCAATTGTGTGCTGTGAAATTTCTTACAAAAATAGGCATATCGGAACAGCCATAAATATAACGTTAAAAAATTGCTAACGAGCTATTATGACCAGCCAAGAATATTCTGTGTTGGGAATGGACACATGCTCAGAAAATCTCTCTTCTGCTTTAAACCCATGACAGCTGTGAAACAATGTTAAGATATCATCGAGATATTTTGCAATATTCAAGTAGACGTCTGGCTTGACCAATCTTTTTGTCTTTTTGCAGGAAAAAGGAACAATTTGATCAAAGCGTGAGCAACCACCACCCGAGAACAACAACAAAGATGATAACGTTTGGTTATTGTCATGCTCCTATTGCAAGTTTGGTGCAAAGGCATGGAGAGGATGTGAGCCCTGCAACCAAAACTTCCACAGAACCAAGATGCAGTATGTGCAGGTTGAAAAGGTTACATTTCTATGTCATGCCATAACGGCATCAGCAGCATATATGCGCCTGACAATCTCGAATACAAGCATGAACAGAGTGTAACTGGATATTCGAGTACGTCACCACTGCCTTGTGAAGAAGACAAAGCAAGATAATTTTTCAGAACTCTCCTGAACGCAGCTGGCAAGAAACACAATAGTTGCTTCAATTAGGTTCAATTTAAACACGTGCGTGTGACAAAAAGCATTTATGGTGTGGTGGGACATCTGCAAGTCGGAGGTTAGGAACCTTTCCACCCCCCCGATTAGACTCCACACCTACAGAGCTGATCATGGCAAGCCTTGCAAAATCATGCATGAAATGAATCATGAATGTAATAGAATGAAAACAGCTTGCAAGCCAATATATAACCTGGAAATGCACGCGCACACACACACACACACACACACACACACACACACACACACACACACACACACACACACACACACACACAAATACGGAGCTTGGGGGGGGCTTCTGGTTGACTTCATCAAGCTCTCATCAAGCCCAGCCACCATATGGGGATGGGACCCAAAGCAGAGGGGGATTTGAGAGATTGTTTTTGTGTGTGTGTGTGTGTGTGTGTGTGTGTGTGTGTGTGTGTGTGTGTTTGTGTGTGCGCGTATGTACGTGCGTTACACAGACAGTCAGCGCTAAGACACGCACAAAGAAAACATGCATCACCAAATCAGCTTGAATGCATTATGACGCCACTCTTGGCAGATTAGGAGGACCCCCTTTCAACTGGTGCAGCCTGAAGGTGTGTTCACAGTTTAAACCGCTCGAGACACCGCCGCTCGAGTACTGTTATTAGTCAACC